AATGGAATATTATTCAACCATAAGAAGAAAACAAATCCTACCATTTGCAACAACATGGATGGAACTAGAGGGTAATTATGTTCAGTGAAATACGTCAGGAGGAGAAAGACAAGTACCAAATGATTTCACTCATCTGTGGAGTATAAGGACAAAGCAAAAACTGAAGGAACAAAACTGCAGCAGACTCACAAAACCCAAGAATGGACTAACAGTTACCAAAGGGAAAGGGACTGGGGAGGATGGGTGGGAAGGGAGGGAGAAGGGGAATAAGGGCCATTATGATTAGCACACATAATATAGTGGGGGGCACAGGGAGGGCTGTACAACACAAAGACAAGTAGTGACTCTATAGCATCTTACCACACTGATGGACTGTGACTGTAATGGGGTATATGGTGGGAACTTGATAATAGGGGGTGTCTAGTAACCATAATGTTGCTCATATAATTGTACATTAATGATACCAAAATAAAAAAAATAAAAAATGTGACTTGTCAGTGGAAAACTTAGAATCATGGTAGCTTTTTGCTATGTTCATAATGCTTTTAAATTCTCATGTGGCAAGTGTGATTATTAGACATAAATTGTGTATTTCAGCCATTTTAAATGAATCTATAAATTGTATGAAGAACTCTGAAGTCTTTTGTAGGATTTCGAGTGAGCTGAAGTGAGCAGGCCTTGGTGTTCGTCTGACTTACTCTGCTGCTTCAGTTCTTGTCATCTCTGTTTCAGGTCAGTTGTTTTCCAGTTTGACCTGGGCTCTGTCACTCTTACACTTACTGTAGCAGAGTAGAAACTCAGCTCTGAACTAGGAAAGGCCAGTGACCCTAGAAGCACCTCATCCTTCAGGGAATGGGAGCAAGGGAGCCACCTAAGCTCTCGGGACTGTTGGGTGGGTTGGGCAGTTATTCGCTTTGATCCCGTCAGAAGGAGGTAATCTCTGGAGCTGTCCCCAGTGGGAGAGGAGACCTGGGGTCTGACACTTCAGCCAGGGAGGCAGTATTGTAGCACTGTCACTTCAGAAACATGCACGTGGTGGCCCTGGTGCCCGAACCCCACCCCCTACGGACCTGGGGTTGCTGTCCAGGTTGCTGCAAGGTGGAAACCACGTGGTTGGCCCTGAGTGGACGCACAGCACCAGTAGCTCCCAAGGTTGGAAGCCCTCCCTGTTCTTCGCTGAATAAGTTACTCTAGGAATCTGGTTTATTATTCCTTCATTTGGCATGTAAGTATTGGGGCCACATGCAAGGCACATGGTACAGATATGCATTTTCATTTCAATTGTTGAGGCAAATAAATCCTGGAGATGTTTAAGACTTTTTAATCATGGCATCCTGAGGGAAGCCACTGGCTGGAAAGGTGTTTTGCTGTTGTTGTTGTTCTTATTGTTTTTTTTACTTTTTAGAACTTTTCCTGAAGTAAAGCCAAGTCAGGATATGACTTGAAATGTTGGTAAATGCCTGGGTCTGCTGGCTTCCTGCCAGAAGCAGTAGCTGTTGGAGCTGAAGGCCTTTTGGTTGGTAACTGAGTAACTTCTCCCTGCCTGCCTTTCCATGTTATGGGAGAAAACCTTGAAAATTACCCAGTTTGGGAAGTGTACATCCCCAGGTGTCATTAGTGGGGCAATAAGGAGAAGGCAGCCCCCCAGGCATCTGCTTCAGGGCGCCCCCGTGTCTGACACCCACACAGGGTGGGTGGGTTGGGTGTGTGCGGCGGTGACACTTGGGTGCTCTGGGTCCAGTTTGGGTGGTGGTTGGCCAGGTTGTGTTGCTCTTTTCCACAGAAAATTGAATAGGTGTTAAGTGAGAAAAAGGTTCGAGGTTAAAGAAGTTTGGGAATCACTGGTTTCCTCTTAAAACAATTATTTTTAGTTGTGGTAAAATATATATTAAACAGAATTTCACATTTTAACCGTTTAAAATGGTACAGTTCAGTGGGATTGTTTATAATAATGCTGTGCAACCATCTATTTCCAAAAATTTCATCACCCGAAAGAGGAACTCCATACCCATTAAGCAGCCTCTCCCAAGGCCCCTTCCTCCTAGACCCTGGTGACTGCCACCCTCTGTGTGTCCCTGTCACGTGGCTAGTCTAGATATTTCATGTAAGTGGAGACATTATCTGTCCTCTGTGACTGGTTTCTGTGCATGATGTTCTCAAGGTTCATCCATGTTGTAGCATGAATCCGAACTTCATGCCCTTTAAGATCAAATCATACTCCACGACTGGATAGACCCCGTTTTATTTATCCATCTGTTGCTGGACACTTGGGTTGTTCCCATCTTCTGGCTGCTGTGAATAATGCCACAATGAGCATCATTGCACAGAATCTGAGTCTGTTTCCATCATCCTGGGGTCTGTACCTAGGAGAGGAATTGCTAGGTCACATGGTAATTCTGTGTTTAACTTTTTGGGGAGCGTGAGACAGTTTTCCACAGAAGCTGTACTGTTTTAACACTAGTTTTTACTGCAAAATTTCTCAGCCTATAAAATGTTTTTGTGTACAGTAAATCCCCAAGAGAAAAATAGAGTTACCAGGTTTCTCAAACTTTTTGGACCTTGAAAGCTCTTCTTCCTTTAAAAATCCTCTTTTGGAACACCCCTGGAGGGATACTGCAATAGGGGATTTTGAAAGAAGGTCATTTTTCTGGGATTGACTCTCCCAGTTACTAGTTACTACACGGTTCTCTATTTTCTACTGAAACTCTTGGGGTGTATTTATAATTTCCTTATAGCTATTCTTTTGTCTTCATGTGTTAAAGCATGTTTGCATTTTCTAGTTGGGAGGTATCTGGGGTGCATATTGAAATGCTTAAATATTGGACTTTTTAGAGCAATCTTGATGGTGATTTTAGAGGCTAGATACGACAAGTCAGTTCTGGGAAATCTGGCACATGTGTAGGTGCACCTCACCTTCCCACTGTCTGATGATTTTAGCCTGGCCAGGTGCTCCGAGAGCATGAGCCTGCCCCTAGAGTGCTGCCTCAGCGCCCATCTCAGGAACTGGCCCCTCTCACAGCAGCTTGGGAAGGCCTGGCCTGGAAGAGGAGCCACGCAGACCTTTAAAGTCTTCAATTCCAGCTGAGTTGCTTTTGTCTCAGGCAGGTTAAATGCCTTGCTCTCTGCCCATCCTGAGAAAAACAAATTAATCCTTTATGGAGGTGAATATTTCAATGGCCAAAAAGTAAAGTATGTATTTTTTTCTTTTCTCCCCAGATTCTCCCCATGGGTCCCATTTGGAGTAAAATTAAAACAGTGATACCAAACATGCATTGGTCCTTTACTGTCCTCCTGTCCTGCCTTCTGAGCTGTTAGGACTGGCAGGCAATGTCCTTGGTGGCTTCAGTGACCTTTAGGGCCCCTCCTCTCCCCACCTGCCCGAGGCTGACCAATACACCTGTCATGTGTATGGATCTGTCCTGCTGGTCTTCCTTGTGGTGGTTGCTGAACTGTTTAGAACAGGGGATGTGCAGATACCCTCAGAGCTCATTTTCATTTTGAGAGTTATATGTGAAGCAGCTACAGAGGCGTGAGTTCATGTCCCCTCCATGCGCTGGGGATGCTGCAAGTCTGACCCAACCGGTCCACTACCATGGCAGGCTCTCACACCAGGCCTGAATTGGAAGATGGGGGTCTCACCAAGCAGTGTCCCCAGTGCCCTGGATGCTCACAGGCTCAGGGCAGGTGGCCTTCTTTGTACCACCATCTCAGGCAGGACTGAGGGGGTAGCTGCACACCACCCTGCATTGGTGTGACTTTGTTGCTCTAGGACATAGGTTTCCTATGGAAGGCTGCTGATTAAGGTCCTTTTTTTCCACCTACTGGTGCTTGCATGGAAGCATCATTCATCACACTAAAGTTTCTCTTCCTTTCTGCAGATTTTTTTGTATAATAAACTGTATATCTACAACATCAGGAAGGACACCTGGACAAAAGTCGAGATCCCCAATCCACTTCCAAGGTGCTGTGCACACCAGGTATGTCAGCTGACGGTCTGCCTCGTGTCTTTGCACGTGCTTTCCCAGGAGGGCTGTGTCAGGGTGTTGAGGGTGAGGAGGGGCCTCACTCTGCTGCTGTCTGACTTGGACTCATCATTGAGCTGCCTGGCTCTTCACTATCTTCCTGTAAGACAGGGAGACGAGCACCTTCCCCTCCCTGGGCCCTGAGGTCATGGGGACCATCCAGGCAGCATACCTAGTGTGGTGCCTGGAGTGTTGCAGCCACACAGGAGGCTCCCTGTCCATCTGAGTGAGAGGCTCCTGGAGGCCGGAGGTCTGGTGCCTTGAGAGGAAAGTAAGAACCGGGATGTCCAGTGGTGGGGGTGAGGTGTGGAAGGAAGGGGATGGCTGTGGAATGAGGCGTGTCCTGACGGGGTGGCCCCAGGTGCTGAGGCCAGTGAGCTGTGGGCTCTTCCTACGCAGCGCAGGGGAGTCCCAGCAGAGCTGCTGTTCCTGCCAAATGGCGTCCTGGGCTCAGGGTATGGAAGGTCCGGGAGGGCAGGCGCTTGTCTTCCGTGCTCATGATTATAACCTGGCACTGGGAACAAGCCATGGTGCCATGGGTAAGCTGAGGGAGTGGTACCTCCTGTGTGGAGCTACCACGTGCGGGCCAACCACAGCACAATGGAAGCTCCCTGAATGGGGCATGCTTTTCTTTCCTGATTCAGGCCTCAGACCTGAATTTGGGTCTGAGAGGAGGGCCTGCCTGCCAGGACTGCACCGATGCATCGAGCACAGAAGGCTCACAAGCATTTGGACTAACAGGTTAGTCAGTTAATCTGCAAAAACAAAGCAAAACAAAATAAAAACAGGTTAATCTGCAAAAGAAGGATGTCCTTGCTCTCAGTTTTAAAAATCAGATATTAGTAAGCTTGGATTCTCAAAAGTAGGTGGATCTTAAATTCAGTCCTTTCACACAGCCTACTCCTGTTACTGAGAGCTGGGACCAGGACCAGGGACCATGGCAAGTGCCAGCCCTGTGCTGATGCCTCATTAGATTCCTGTTAGATTCCTGAGCCCAAAAATGCTGCTGTCTTGATGGCAATGGAAAGCAGGCTCACAAACTCAGAGGTGCCTCATGCAAGCACAAGTTAATAGTCTTTAACTATCTTTGGAGATTTAGTGCCATGAAAGTCTTTGAAATGCTGAATTCAGCTGCTTTGCCTGGGAGCTCCATTGTTTATGTATGCCTTATTAATAACATCCTGTAGTTAAGTTGGCTTGCTCTTGGATTAGGGAGAGGATTAAAGAAGGCAGCATGAGAGGTGAAACAGAGGCTTCCTCCAAAAACCACATATAATATGAAAATACAATTAAGAGAACTAATCTTGAAAGAGCAACAGGAAAGAGGACTGGATCAGACTGCATACACCTGGAGAAAAGAGCAGACCTCACGGAACAGTGTAATGTACGAAAGCTGTGGCCCAGTGGGACTCAAGCCCTGCCCCCACCCCAGCTCACCAGTGGGAGGAACAGAAACGGAGCAGGGAGGGAGTGGAGGTCGTGGACTGCTGAATATTTAACTCTGGAGATCTGCTCTGGGAGCACAAACCTACATTTCATGGTGCTTGCATTATACTCTCATGATTAGGGGGTTGGAAAGCTAAGACAGGTAGAATTCCTGGAGACACTGAGATTCCAGCCACTTGTGGAAAGCAGGGATCCATATCCTGCTGCTCTGGGACAAAAGAAAGGTGGGCAGTCTGAGAGACCTCCTAACAAGGAAGCCCTTAGCAAGAGGGCTGTTAAAGGGGCAAGGATTGCACAGAGCTTACTGCTCAGGAAAAAGGACAGGTAGACAAAATTGTCCAGGTGCACTCTATCCAGCAGGTTGTGAGCTTTCATGATCTTCAGGTGCTCCAGCTCCCTGGCTGGCTACACAGCTCCAAGGACCCCCTCCGTGACATGCAGCCTACTGCACCTTTCTCCTGGGCAGCACCACCTGGCTTGCAAACAGGCAAAACCTACTCTGGTGTTAGGCCAGCCAGAAGGAAGATGTGCCTACAGCAACTACAAACACAAAACAAAGAGGATTATACTTGTGTGCTCAGTGCACTAGTTCAGGCAGTGGAGACAGGCATAGCAGCTGGGAAGCAGGAAACAGCTCTTTCCTCCCCACAGGCACACCACTCCCCTGCAACCCCCAACCTTGATTCAGGGGC